AAAAAAAAAAAACGAACATATGGATACAACTTGAGCTGGATTTGCTGCTCCCTTCCCCACCGCCCCCCTTTCTAGGGATCAGTAATGATGGGACAAGTGGAACCCACAGCTGAGCGTCCATGACAATCCCACTCTAGCCTGGCCCAGTCCAGCCTCACCTCAATGCTGCCCTGGGCTTCGTGCAGGCAGTGCAGAGCGAGCTCCAGGTTGGTGCCCCCTCCTGGCATCACACTGGAGCATGCCACGTTACAGAGCTCTGTCACTACGGTTCCGGTTCCAGCAAGCAAGGCGAGCAAGGGTTAGGAAAGATGAAGGAGTCAGGAGCTGGTCAGGTGGACACCTCCCTTCCTCCCTCCCTCCCTTGCACTTCTCTGTGGACAAGGAGGGTGAGCAGAAGCCTTCCCTGGGCTCTACATAGCCAAACTAGCCACTAGGTCAAAGGAGAAGACAGAACACAGCTGGGGAGAAGCGACCCTGGGAGAGGAAGACTCCCTGGTACTGGTGGGGAAGGAGGAGCTTTTCAGTGAGACCCCAGAGCCTCAGCCACCTCTGTCCTGTGTCTCGGGATTGGTCATCACATCTCCCCATGGCTTCCAAACCAGAGCTGCCACATGCTTGTCCACTCCAGCCAGAGATCTCTCCTGCAGCTCCGGGATCTCAGCCTGAAACCGGCTCCCTATGTTGATGTGTCTGGAAGAGATACGCTGGGGTGACCAAGATGAGAAGCAGAGGCCTACGCCAGCCACAGCCTGCTCTGTGGGCCCCGATGCCATCTTGCAAACACATTTCGGGAACTTCTCTAGGGTTACCTCCTTCCTCCTCTGCCTCTCTTAGGGTCTTGGACAGGGTGGTGCATGCAGATAACTGTCCACATCTGTCCAGCCACAGACTGCGCTGTGGGCTACACCATCACTAACTCTGCTCAGAGCCCCAAGGACAGGCTGTCCCACATGCCACATGTCTGCCAGAGAAAGAAGTAGCAGGGGAACTTCCTGCATCGATCTAGAGAAGCCCACTATTTGCAGGGAGACTCTGCAGTCTGACCTGACCTTCTATGAAGCAGCATCTTGGGTAAAAGTGATGCTGGGCCCCACCGTCTGTGAAAGACCCTCTTGTAGAGGACGCCTGGTTCTCACTGCTCCAACTCACGGTTCAATGCTGATCTTCGTGTCATCCTTCACCACACAGATGCCAAAAGAGCCATCCACTTGATCTAGAAAACACACAGCAAAGAGCCTCAAGTGGACCGAGTGGACATGACCCCTTTCGGCTGCCTTTGTTGACACAGCCAAATACAGGCCATGAGGATACCTGGGAGGGAAAGGACGTCTGAAAAAGCTGAGAAAGGAACTCAACAAACCAATTAATGAATGACAGTGACACATTGGTACTAAACTAGTAAGTGAAGGTCTCTGGAAACTGTCGTAAAGGCATACAGCATATAGAGAAATATTTACTCAAGAAAATGGATGAAATCTTGATAAGAACAAGCATTTGTGGTATTTGAGCCAGGGCCAGCTCTTTCCCCTCCCAGCTCCCAAGGCTGCACACGGAGGTTTCACCCAGGGAGGGGTAAACAAAACAAGGCTCTCCCCTGGTCCCCACGCTTCAAGATGTTCAAGGAAGGCAGAATGACAACTTCTCACCAAAGAATACTGATGTTATTTTAAAAGTGGAAATTCTGGTGTGAAAAAGTACAATCGTGAAAATGGAGCTCAACAGGCTTGAGTTGGCAGAAAGAAATAATTAGCAAACTAGAAGATCGATCAGTAGATATTATGGAATCTGAATTAAAGAAAAAGAAATAATAAAAGTGAAGAGAACCTCTGAAGTATGGGACACCATTAAATGTAATACTCACATGTAATGGGGTGGAGAAAGGAACAGAAAACATTTAAACAATAATGGTAAAAATTATAAACATGTCTGTGAAGCTCTATGAACTTCAAATAGGACAAATAACAAAGACATCTAGAAGAAGCTTTGGTGTTATCTGGCGTGAACAAGGCCCTGATTCCAACCTGAACACTGAGGAGTAAGGGCGGGGGGCGAGGGGGGCCCGAGGTGTACATCTAAATAAGATGTTGAAAGTCAAAAGATAAAATTTTCAAAATCGGGGCTGAGAAGGTGGCTCAGTGGTAGAGCGCTTGCCTTGCATGTTTGAGGCCCTGGGTTCGATTCCTCAGCACCACATAAGAAAAAAGCCGGAAGTGGCACTGTGGCTCAGGTGGTAGAGCGCTAGCCTTGAGCTGAAAAGCTGAGGAACAGTGCCCAGGCCCAGAGTTCAGGCCCACTACTGGACCCCCCAAAAAAAATTCAAAATCGAAACAAGAAAAAAACAAAAGCAAAACTCTTATGAGCTGGGCGCTGGTGGCTCATGTTTGTAATCCTAGCTACTAAGGAGGCTAAAATATGAAGATCATGTTTTAAAGACAGTCTGGGCAGGAGCATCAATGAGACTCTTGGGTTTTTCTTTTTTCAGTCGTGAGCCTTGAACTCACTGAGTGCTATCCCTAAGTTTTTTTTGCTAAAGACTAGCTCTACCACTTTGAGCCACAGCTCCACTTCCAAGTTTTGAGTGGTTAACTGGAGACAACTGTGTCATGGACTTTCCTGCCCAGGCTGGCTTTGAACCGTGACCCTCAGATCTCAGCCTCATGAATAGCTAGGATTACCAGCGCATGAGCAACTGGTTCCTGGCCCATGAGATTCTTCTCTCCAATTAATCCCCCCAAATTCAGAAGCGGAGCTGTAGTTTAAGTGGTAAAGTTCTAGGCTTGAACAAAAAGAGCAAAAGGTTGGGAAGGGGAAACAAAGGAGGAAGCTACAATGCTTGATAAGAAATGTACTCATTATCTTGCCCATGTAATTGTAACCCCTCTGTACAGTATTTTCACAATAAAAAAA